TAATCTCTCCTGTTTCATTTCTGATTGTGTTTATTTGAGTCCTCTCTCTTCTTTTCTTGATGAGCCTACTTAAAGGCTTGTCTATTTTGTTTATCTTTTCAAAAAACCAACTCCTGGATTCATTGATCCTTAGAATTGTGCTTTTAGTCTCTATGTCATTAAGTTCTGCTCTAATCTTGGTTATTTTTTTCCTTCTCCTTGCTCTGGGCTGTCTTTGTTGTTGTTCCTCGAGTTCTTCTAGGTGTATGGTTAGGTTGTTTGTTTGAAATGTTTCTATCTTTTTTAGGTAGGCCTTTAAAGCTATAAACTTCCCTCTCAGGACTGCCTTTGCAGTGTCCCATAAGTTTTGGGTTGTTATGAATTCATTTTCATTTGTTTCCAGAAACTTTTTGATTTCTTCGCTGATTTCATTCTTGACCCATTTGTTGTTTAATAGCATGCCATTCAATCTCAATGATTTTGAGTGTTTTGAGTTATTTTCCTTCAGGGTTGGTTTCCAGTTTCAATCCCTTGTGGTCAGAGAAAATGTGTGGTATGATTTCAATTTTCTTGAATTTATTGAGGCTCGTTTTGTGTCCTATCATGTGGTCTATCTTTGAAAATGTTCCATGTGCATTTGAAAAGAATGTGTATTTAGCTTCTTTAGGATGAAGGGCTCTATATGTATCAGTTAAGTCCATTTCATCTAGGGTGTTGTTTAATGCCACAATATCTTTGTTGATATTTTGTTTGGAAGATCTGTCCATTTTTGATAGTGGGGTGTTAAAATCCCTTACTATAATTGTGTTGCTGTCAATATCTTTCTTGAAGTCCTCTAAGATTTTCTTGATATATTTGGGTGCTGCTCTGTTGGGTGCGTATATATTTACAATGTTATTGTCTTCTTGGTGGATTCTTCCCTTGAGTATTATGAAGTGACCTTCTGGGTCTCTCTTTATGGCCCTCTTTTTGAAGTCTGTTTTGTCTGATATGAGAATTGCTGCCCCAGCTTTTTCTTTTTCTTGTCTGTTTGCTTGTTAAATTTGTTTCCAGCCTTTCACTTTTAGTCTGTGATGGTCTTTTGTCCTGAGGTGGGTCTCTTGTAGACAACGTATGTGAGGGTCATGCTTTCTTATCCATTCAGCTATTCTGTGTCTTTTGATTGGACCATTTAATCCATTTACGTTTAAGGTTATTATTGATAGGTACTTATTCATTGCCATTTTTGTACCTGTGTTCTTCTGTGTCTTTCACTTTTCCTTCCTTTCTTTAAAGTAGTCCTTTTAGTGGTTCTTGTAGGACTGGTTTGGTGGAGACATTTTTTTAGACTTCTTTTTGTCTTGGAAGCTCTTTATTGGGCCTTCTATCTTGATTGAGAGCTTTTCTGGGTAAAGTAGCCTTGGTTGTAGGCCTCTGGTTCTCATAACTTGGAATATTTCTTGCCATGCTCTTCTTGCTTGGAGTGTTTCCATTGAGAAGTCAGTAGCTAACCTTATTGGGGCTCCCTTGTATGTTACTTCTTTTTTCTCCCTTGCTGGCTTTATAATTCTGTCTTTGTCTTGGAATTTTGCCATTTTAATGATGATGTGTCTTGAAGTGGGCCTCCTTGGGTTCCTCTTGATTGGGACTCTGTGTGATTCCTGGATTTGTGTGACTTTTTCTGTCATCAAGTTAGGGGAATTTTCTCTCATTACTCTTTCAAATATGTTTTCTATCCCTTGTTCTTCTCCTCCTCCTTCTGGTATCCCTATTATTCAGATATTATTACGTTTCATATTGTCTTGTATTTCTCTTAATCCCTCTTCATTCTTTCTGAGTTTCTTTTCATTTTCCTGTTCTTTCTGTGAGATGCTTTCTACTTTGTCCTCCAGCTCGCTAATCCTATCCTCTGCCTCATCTATCCTACTTTTGAAACTATCTACTGTGGTCTTCCATTCAGAAATTGTATTCTTCATTTCCTCTTGTCCCTTGCTGGTAGTTTCTATTTCCTTTTTCATGCTGATATAGTTTGCGGTGAGGTCATTGTAGTTCCCCTGTAGTTTTTTTTGTAGCTCATTGTGAGCTCTTTGAACTTCGTGATAACCAGTGCTTTGAATTCACTATCCGATAGTTGATTAGCCTTTATTTCATCTAACATTCTTTCTGAAGCCTCTGCTTTTTCTTTTAGTTGGGGATTGTTTCTTTGTCTTCCCATTGTTTGTGAGACTCTTCTTGTTAGCCTCAGCTTCTAAAATTGATCTGTTCTGGCTCCCTGGGTTTATGCTGTGAACCTCTGTGGTATAATGCCAGTGAATTTCAGTGGTGCAGACTCCTTCAGGTATCCTCCGTTTCCACCTACTCCTTTAAATGTGTATGTGTAATCAGTTGTAGGAGGAGGCAAAATGGTTTATGACAGCAGAAGAGTTTTTTTATGATATTTACAGTCACAGCCAGTAGAGAGGAGATAGGTGATCTTTAGACTATATATTGTGTTAACCGTATTCTTCAGCCCAACTTGACACTTTTACGAGAGGATGGACAAAAGATAAGCCTCTTGTTGGGGAGGGAAGTCTTGTTAGTTGGAACTAGAAAGCAGTGAGGTTTTAGATGGTCAGATTATGAGGTAAGGTGAGTGTAAGGAATGGTAAATAGGTGTAGTGTGTGAGCTACACACACTAACTCTATTTAATCACTATAGTGATAGAATTCAGGGACCTGTACAATGGGCTAAGATCCGGGAGATGTGTTGTGAAATATTTACTATTGTAGAGATCAGCTATTATTTACACTAACATTAGAGCAGCACTCGTATAACAATCTCTATGTGATCTGTCTGAGTAGGGGGTATAGAGCTTTAGGTAGTGTGCTAAAGGAAAACAAGTGGCGTGGAGTTCAGAGGATTAGCAAAGCACTGTGGAGGAAAGGACAGGGGGAGCCTGTCTAATAATACAATATAACTGCTTGAGACTGAGAAGCCTCTACAGAAAGAAGAGGAATACAGAGATATTATTAAAATACAAAAGAGGTGGAAATAATAAAAAAATATGCAACTCCTTGTGGCTTCTCTGCTATAGGAAGGTGAAATTTGTGTCTCTGTCTGTACTGTTGAGATGCCTCCTCTCTGGGTCCCATTCTGGTTCTTCCACAGTTCCTAGTTTTTTTGTCTCTTGTGGTTAAAAGGAAACGAAGCAACACAAACGATCAAACAAAAAGGCAGGAGAAGGGAGGCGAAAGCGATGAGTTTAAGAGGAAAGGAAGAAGGACTAAAACAGGGAAAAAGAAAGGAGAGGAACAAAGTATAGAAAGATAAAGCAGTGATAAAATTAAAATATATATAAGGTTACTAAACTAATGCACAAAAAAGTTACTAAAAAAAAAGGAAAAAAAACAGAAAAAATTTTTAAAAAACCCCAAAACAAACAAGCAAGCAGCAAAAAAAAACCAAGAACAACAACAATAGAGAAATTCTTCCCTTGTTGGTTTCAAACTATCCAGACCGGTTTTTCTGGTTGCAGGATCTCTCTGTGTGCTGGGATGCCGGCGCAAGTACGTGCACCAGCCAGGCTACCAGATTGGGGTGTGTGCACCTGCACACTTGACGGGAAGTCCAGGACTGCGAAACCAGCAGGGTACTTCCCGGTCCTGTGGCTCTGGCCCCGAAGTCTCCGCGTCCATGTGTGCGAGAAACCAGCAGTGTGCTTCCCAGTCCCCTGGTGGTGGCTCAGAGGCCTCTGCTTCCACCAGGCTGTCTGGGACTCAAGAAACTGGCAGGGCACTTCCCAGTCCTATGGCTAGTCCCCAAATGCCTCCACTTTCCCCCTGGCTCCCTGCAAGGCCGGATGGGAAGCAAGCCAAGCTGCCCTGGCAGGAGAACACCTCAGTCCACTTTCAATAAAAACAAAACAAAACAAAACAAAACTCTCCAGACAACCTGTCTCTCAGTCCAGCTCAGTTCCCAACCAGACCCGTGAGGCCAATGTGTCTCTCGATTCTCCCAGGCTTGCGACCACAGAATCTGCAGTTGAACCAGGCCCTGTGTCTTTGTAACCCTCTCTGATAATGCAAGCCGGCAAGCAGACAGGTCTCTACCTGGTGTTGTCCAGTTTTGCTTATATGGGAAGTGGGGGAGCTGCTGGCCCCTGCTGGTGGCCACTGGGGCTGGTGGGTACCGGGGTTCCTGTGGTAGACCCCTCTGGTGTTGGTCTCAGACCGATGGCTCTGTACCCTGGCTGTAGAGGCAGCACTGGGGCCACCTGGCCCGGGGCGCCAGCCCCCGCCGCTGCTTTATCTTTACTCCAGTCCCCAAGATCCCACTGACCTGCCGGTTTCTGGTGTTTCAGCGTCTGTCACAGTCTCTGTTCATTTAATTTCACAAATGCTAGATAACTGATGGATTAGTGCGCTGCTCTATAGATCTGCCAGGATTTTCACCCACGAGTACAGGAGCTAGAATCCGCTCCGCCCTACTTTGTCGCCATCTTGAGCGAGAGCTTATTCCTCCCTTTTAAAAAAAAATAAATAAATTTTCTATCTTTATGTATCTTTCCCTTCTAACTTATAATGCTAGATTAAAACACATCTAAATTAAAGTATATTGCTCATTTACTATTTTAATTCACCCAGAATTTATTTTTGAGTATTATATGACATTGTAAGAAATTTTTTTACAGGTAGCCAACTATTTCTTGAGTACACTATTGTTTTCTTGTTGATTTGTAATGACAATAATAATTATTGAAAGCTTTCTATAGGCAAAGCAATCTTTCAAAAGCTTTGTCTTTAAATTCCTGCTTGTGTTTCTTTAATAAAGGTTTTCTTCATGTTTTGACATTTAAAATGAATTATTTAATGCTTTTTAATTAAGCTATTAAAAATACCATATAAGTTAATTTTCCACTTGGGTCCCAATTTCTTTTTCCCTGAGAGTTGAAAATCATAAAAACAAGTGCCTTTTTTCTACTTTAACACTACTGGAGGTGTTATTGAGACCAAGAAAACCACTTTTCCATTTCTCATCAGGGGTGTTTCTTATAGGTGTCTTCCAGGTTGCGGAAAAGATGTAAAAAAGGACATGTGCACTTTGCCCCAAAGACTCGAGTGTAGTGTCCTGTACTTTGCACCATCAGAGAACATAGCTGCTCACAAAAATTGTTTGGTAAGTTACTTGAAAACACATGAACCCTGGCTGGTGTGGCTCAATGGATTGAGTGTCGGACTGTGAACCAAAGGGTTGCTGGTTCAATTCTCAGTCAAGGCACATGCCTGGGTTGATGGCTAGTTCCTTAGTAGGGGGCACATGAGAGGCAACCACACATTGATGTTTCTTTCCCTCTCTTTCTCCCTCCCTTCCACTCTTTCTAAAAATAAATTAAAAAATATTTTTAAAAGAAAAGAAAACACATGAGTTCTTTAGGGAAGGACATGTCAAAATAAATAAAATGGAGCCCTGGCTGGTGTAGCTCAGTGGATTGAGCGCTGGCCTGTGAACCAGAGTATCACGGTTCGATTCCCAGCCAGGGCACATGCCTAGGTTGCAGGCCAGTTTCCAACAGGGGACACGTGAGAGGCAACCATACATTGTTTCTCTCCCTCTCTCCTTCCATTCCCCTCTAAAGATGGATGAATAAAATCTTATTTAAAAAATTAAAAAAAAATGGTACTATGAATACAAAGAATGATGAGTTGGCCATGGTTTGGGCTTTTAAGTAGGGATTTAGGGGGAATATTTTTCCCTTTTTAAATTATTTTAGATCTTATTACCTTAAGATCACTTCTAGTTTTATTTACAACTGATAGAAGACACAAAAATTATCAAGAAACTTTTTTAAAGAAATTTTAATGAAATATTTCAAATGTAACAGATACCCATAGACAATTTAACCAAATTTGTAAAATCAGGATATTATATAATATTGTTTCAACTTCACATTTTCTAAAGAAATAAACATAGATACTTAAGGACCCTCTACTTCTCGCTCTTCCCACCTCTTTATTTCTCCTGAGAGATAATTGCTGTCACAAATTGGTGTTTTTTACCTTGTATTTTTAACTTTATGCTCCAAACACATATATTTAAATATTTATGAACAGGATCTGATACTGTTTTACATGTTCTTGGACTTTATAGAATTTCTCCCAAATTCTATGGATCATTGACATTTATCTATGTTAATAAATACAACTCTGCCTTTAATTTTAAATGGTACAGTATTCCATTTCATAACTATTTAAATATTTTCTTGGGAATGAGCAGTTAGGTTAGGTTTTTCCCGGTGATTTTTTTGTTTGTTCATTTGTTTGTTTTTGTACGATGAACCAGCTGTCACAAACATCCTTGTATAGGTGTTCTAATTCACTGGAAAATTTCTTTGATCTAGGGCACATAGCGAGAGCAGAACTTCTGGGTGCAGGAAGGGAGCCTTGTGCACCTCACTGCATGTTCCAAATAGCTCTCCACATTTTGACTCCTACCATTGTTTCAGAATTTCTTTTATTCCTTGCCAACACTTGATATTATGAGATTTTATTTTTTTTCCTCTTTGACTAGTGTGAAGGTATCAACCAATGGTCATTGGTGCCAATTGAATGCCAACAGGAATCCCCAGTTTGAGGTGTCGTGAAGAAGGAAACTTTATTCAGTGTAAACAGCACAATTGTGCTACAGTCCAATTATGAAATAGCAGAGCTTTGCAACAGCACAGCTGTGAGGCAGACTTGGGGCAACGCCCCTCTTCTGTTAGACAGCACTGCTCTGCCTGCTCTGCTCCAACAAGACATCTTCAGTGTCTTCAGTCTTGGATGGAAAAGGAAAATGTGGACTCCAAGCCAGAGGGAAGCTGACCTATATAGAGAGAAGTCTCTGTCCCTGGTCCCTGATTGGTCCATCCTCTTGCAACTGAGGACTCCAAATCCTCACAGTTTAATTGGTCCAAAAGCACCATCCTGCCCTGGTTGCTGTGGCTTAGTTGCTTGGAGCATCCTCCCCTAAACTGATTGATCCAGGTCAGGGCACATGCAAGAGGCAACTGATGGATGTTTCTTTCTCACACTGATGTTTCCCACCCTCTCCTTCATCTCCCCTCTTCCTAAAATCAATAAGCATGTTCTTGGGTGAGGATTTTTTAAAAAGCACTGTCCTGGTTGGTCAGTATGGAGCTGCTCAGATTGGTTAGTGAAGATGCTAGTGGATATAACTGTACAGCTCTACTTGGATGGGGAAAGCCTCAGTCCTATTGGTCGAAATAGGATTCCAGGAATTCCTTTATCAGGGCTAGCTCAGGTGACAAAAACAGTTGGGCAGTCCAGTTCAGGAGGCAGGCTTCTTCCTGAAGTAAGGTTTACATGAGGAGACCCTGCTTAGAAATAGTTGCTAGGCTCTGAGTTTGTTTTGTTTTTATTTTTATTTTTAATTTTAAGCCTGGTGAGGATCCCTTCTTAGTAGGTATCTTCTTTCTGAGTCTACAGAGGTCTCTCGTTGTTTTTACCCACTGTTCTTAGATTATTAGTGGGCTTGTGCCTTGTTTGCTGTGCCAATGCATGGTTCTATTTTTCACCTCTGTGACGTGTTCATAGACTACATTTTATCTTTGAGATGTTGGTTTTGCCTATATGTACTTATTTACATAAAATTAATTGTACTGCTTCATTATATATGTTGCATTTAATTTTGTTTATAGTGTTTTCTATCATGCAGAAGTTTGTTATATAATTAAATTCACCATTATTTTTCTTTGTAATTTGTAAGATTATTTTTCTCCTAAGAAATTATTTACTAAGATTCTGGTTTTTTTCATAAGTTTCAAAATTTGGCTTTTGTCATATAACTTCTTAATTTAATTGGATTCTAATATAGATATACTTTTATTTTTATGATTAACCACTTTTCCCAGCACTGTTTATTGTATAATCTATCCTTTCTTCACTGATTTGTAGTAATAATAATGATAACTGTTATTATTATTCCATGTTCACTAGGTGTAAGGTAATGTTCTGGAAGCTTAACCTGTATGAAACTATTACCCCTCATAACAGCCCTAAAAAATAGGTATTGTTACATCCAAAGATAAAACTACTGAGTCACAGAGAAGTTAAATCACTTGCCCAAGGTCACAGAATTCTCACCGAGATTTTCTAGGTCTTGAACCCTCATGTTTATCCAGTGTGCTGACAATATAGTATATGTGTACAGATGCATTTTTAGCACTCTGTTCTTTCTGTCCCATTGGTCACTTTGTCTATGGCTGAGCTGGCACAACACTGTGTTAATTACTATGATTTTAGATAAACCTGGGCTATTTTATTTTCTTTGAATTTTGGAATCAGCTTAACATGTTTCATAAAAATTCCCATTTGAATTTTAACTGGAACCTCACTGAATTTATAGATTAATTTGGGAAAAAATAGGCACCCTCATGATATATGAGTACTTTTATCTATTAACAGTTTCTGCCTCTCCAATTATTCAGGTCTTCTTTTATGAATTTTAGAAAATTTAATAATTTTTTTCTATTGGTGTCTCCACGATTGGGTTAGGCTTTTTCCTAGGTTTGTTTTGTTACTTTTTTCCTAATACCTGTTTGAAACGAGCTATTACTGGCATATACAAAAACTATTGATTTTATTTATTCTTATACAGTAGTCTTGTAAACTCATATTAATTTTAAGTCTCTAAATTCACCTGTGTATTTTATTTGGACAAGCCTTATCTGTAAATAGAGAAGATATTTTTCCTTTTGATTTTTGGGCCTCTTAATTTCTCTTTATTGTTGTATTGCATTTTTCTAGAACATTGTATTATAATAGTGATTGGAAACTTTATAATTATGTATTTAAACTTTTTAAGTATATTTTATTCATTATGCTATTACAGTTTCCCCAATTTTTCCCTGTTTATCCCCCTTTCACCCTTCACCTCGATCCCCCCAACATTCCCCCCCTTAGATCATGTACATGTGTTATACATACAAGTTCTTTGAATTCTGTTTCCTATACCATTCTTAACCTCTCCCCATATATTTTATGCCTATCAATTACGCTTCTTTTTTTTTAATTTTAATTTTTTTATTGATTATGCTGTTACAGTTGTTCTATTCCCCCCCTTCATTCCCCTCCACCCTACCCCCCATCCCCACCATTACCCCCCCTTTAGTTTATGACCATGTGTCTCAAGTCCTTTAGATTCTATATTTCCCATGCTATTCTTGCCCCCCATCTATTTTCTATCTACTGTCTATGCTACTTATTTTCTGTACCTTCTCCCCCCCTTCTCCTCCTCCCACTCCCCTGTTGCTAACCCTCCATGAGATCTTCATTTCTATGTTTCCACTCCTGATCTAGCTGTCCTTTTAGTTTGCTTTTGTTTTAGGTGTGGTTGTTAATAACTGTGAGTTTGTTGTCCTTTCACTGTTCATGTTTGTTTAACTTCTTTTTCTTAGATAAGTCCCTTTAACATTTCATATAATAAGGGCTTGGTGATGATGAACTCCTTGAATTTGATCTTATCTGAGAAGCACCTTATCTGTCCTTCCATTCTAAATGAAAGTTTTGCTGGATAGAGCAATCTTGGTTGTAGGTCTTTGGTTTTCATGACTTGGAATACCTCTTTCCAGCCCCTTCTTGCCTGTAAGGTCTCTTTTGAGAAATCTGCTGACAGTCTGATGGGAACTCCTTTGTAGGTGACTGTCCCCTTATCTCTTGCTGCTTCTAGGATTCTCTCCTTCATTTTAATCTTGGCTAATGTAATGATGATGTGCCTTGGTGTGTTCCTTCTTGGGTCCAACTTCTTTGGGACTCTCTGAGCTTCCTGGATTTCCTGGAAGTCTATTTCCTTTGCCAGATTGGGGAAATTCTCCTTTATTATTTGTTGAAATAAGTTTTCCACTGGTGGCTGTGCCTTTCCCCCCTTCTGGTACCCCTATAATTCGGATGTTGGAGTGTTTAAAGATGTCCTGGAGGTTCCTAAGACTCTCCTCATTTCTTTGAATTCTTGCTTCTTGACTCTTTGCTGTTTGGCCATTATTTGCTTTCTTCTGGTCCACTCCATTGATTTGAGTCCCAGTTTCCTTTTCATCGCTATTGGTGTCCTGTGCAATTCCATTCATTTCAATTAGTTTCGCCTTCATATATTTGTCTAATTTGTCGGTATAATCAACCAGT